GATAGATACATCACAATCTACACCTGGAAGATACTGGAGGTATTGGTACCAAACCTGCACACTGAAATTACTACTTATGAACACAAGAAGCTTGACATACAGTGCAGGAGCCAAGTAGAGGATCGATGAGTACACTGAGAGAGAACTCTAAAAGTGTGAGGGGACCACGATTCCTCAACAACCTTCCTTCATGCATGAAGGGGATTACCAACAAATTCCTAGTTGCCTTCAAGAGGTAACTCAACAAATTTCTCAAAACAGTTCCTGATCAACTGGGCTGTGGTGCATACATGGGACTGCAGGCAATAAGCACTAACAGCTTGATCAATCTAGCTAGTAACAGGCGACCTGGACTGGGACCGGACCGCGGGGTCACTGACCTCAGGAAACGCTTACAAGTAACCTTTAAGGGCAAGCTGGCTGGGCAGTAATTTGAAGGTAATCCCTTATCTCCTTACGTAGCTCTTACATGATAAGACTGAAGGAACACTATGGCAGGCCTATTGGCCCATGCTAGGCAAGTCCTTTTCAAATCCAACTCTACTCTCCCACATATTTGACATACCACCTTCGACAACCCTATTAGGTAAGTCTTATCTAAATCCAGCCTTTCTCTCGTATGTCTAAAATCACCTTCTCGACACTTGTTTGGGATTTCTTAAGAGACGCTAAACACTTTCTTAAGAATGTTTTGCTTTCTTAAGAAAGCAAAAGATTCTTGATACGTGTTTGTGAGGGTAGTGTAATTGCAATGTCCCGACTTCTATGACCCACCTCATACTTACCCCCGACATCTATGACCCACCTCATACTTACCCCCGGCATCTATGACCCACCTCATACTTACCCCCGACATCTATGACCCACCTCATACTTACCCCCGACATCTATGACCCACCTCATACTTACCCCCCGGCATCTATGACCCACCTCATACTTACCCCCGGCATCTATGACCCACCTCATACTTACCCCCGACTTCTATGACCCACCTCATACTTATCCCCCCGGCATCTATGACCCACCTCATACTTACCCCCCCGGCATCTATGACCCACCTCATACTTACCCCCGACTTCTATGACCCACCTCATACTTACCCCCCCGGCATCTATGACCCACCTCATACTTACCCCCGGCATCTATGACCCACCTCATACTTACCCCCGACTTCTATGACCCACCTCATACTTACCCCCCCGGCATCTATGACCCACCTCATACTTACCCCCGGCATCTATGACCCACCTCATACTTACCTCCGGCATCTATGACCCACCTCATACTTACTCCCGACTTCTATGACCCACCTCATACTTACCCCCGGCATCTATGACCCACCTCATACTTACCCCCCGGCATCTATGACCCACCTCATACTTACCCCCCCGGCATCTATGACCCACCTCATACTTACCCCCCCCCGGCATCTATGACCCACCTCATACTTACCCCCGGCATCTATGACCCACCTCATACTTACCCCCGGCATCTATGACCCACCTCATACTTACCCCCCGGCATCTATGACCCACCTCATACTTACCCCCGGCATCTATGACCCACCTCATACTTACCCCCCGGCATCTATGACCCACCTCATACTTACCCCCGGCATCTATGACCCACCTCATACTTACCTCCGGCATCTATGACCCACCTCATACTTACTCCCGACTTCTATGACCCACCTCATACTTACCCCCGGCATCTATGACCCACCTCATACTTACCCCCCGGCATCTATGACCCACCTCATACTTACCCCCCGGCATCTATGACCCACCTCATACTTACCCCCGGCATCTATGACCCACCTCATACTTACCCCCGGCATCTATGACCCACCTCATACTTACCCCCCGGCATCTATGACCCACCTCATACTTACCCCCGGCATCTATGACCCACCTCATACTTACCCCCCGGCATCTATGACCCACCTCATACTTACCCCCCGGCATCTATGACCCACCTCATACTTACCCCGGCATCTATGACCCACCTCATACTTACCTCCGGCATCTATGACCCACCTCATACTTACCCCGACTTCTATGACCCACCTCATACTTACCCCCGACTTCTATGACCCACCTCATACTTACCCCCGACTTCTATGACCCACCTCATACTTACCCCCCCGGCATCTATGACCCACCTCATACTTACCCCCGGCATCTATGACCCACCTCATACTTACCCCCGGCATCTATGACCCACCTCATACTTACCCCCAGCATCTATGACCCACCTCATGCTTACCCCCGGCATCTATGACCCACCTCATATACTTACCCCCGGCATCTATGACCCACCTCATACTTACCCCCGGCATCTATGACCCACCTCATACTTACCCCCGCATCTATGACCCACCTCATACTTACCCCCGGCATCTATGACCCACCTCATACTTACCCCGACATCTATGACCCACCTCATACTTACCCCCGACATCTATGACCCACCTCATACTTACCCCCGACATCTATGACCC